TATATATATATATACACACACACACTAATAAAAGAAAATTAAATTCTCAAAGCCCACTCAATAAAGACATCGGTCATTTTCTCAGGGCTTATGTTTTATCTCCTCTAAAACATTTCACACTGCTGGCTACCTTCTTCCAAGTTCCCCTCCCCTCACTCTGTAACATTACACATTTTTTGGTTCTCTTTCCACCACACTGATTGGCCTTTTCTGACATCCCTTCCTCATCCAGTCCCCTTAAATGTTAGCATGCCCAAAATCTAGTTCTCAGATTTCTCTTACTACATTCTACTTGCAGAGAGGCCATTCATGGGGTTCCAACCATCCACTCTGTGCACATGTCCTCCAAATCTTCATCTCCAGCTATGGCCTCCTTTCTGAGTTCTAGTTTTATATTTTCAACTACTTGCTGAAGAATAGCCTGTAGACACCTGACAGTAGTTTACCTTAGCCTCTTCAAAACAAACATAAGACAAACATGTCTCTCCCTACTCTAAAACTTGCCATGGTCTCTAGAATCCAAGCCTTCAAATCTGTCATTGAAATGTCTCAGCATTCTGGTTCTAACTTACTCCCATTCCCTTATGCATCTCCCCTTGATTGCTTTGCACTGCTATGAGCTCTATGAATTCCTGTAACACTTCAGATCTGTTTCGTCAGGGATTGAATGCTTTCAGATACTGTCCTGTCTCCTAGGTAAATTATTACATATTTACATACTTATGCATTCCCCACCATACCTTGCCCAATTTAAGGAGAGGACAAGCAACAAACACAGGTTCATAGAAATATAACCACTTACCACTTACCAGCAGTGTACACAGTGGCTTTGAAGTCAGGTAGAACTCAGCCCAAATATTGCCCCCGCCACTTACTAACTCTACACATTAGACAAGGTAACTCTGAGCTAATTTCCCAATACGGCTGTAGGAGATAATAAGACAATGCATATAGAGTACACAGCAACAAGGGTGTGGCACATAACCACCATCTCTTAAAGACTTAATATTACTGGGTGGACAATTTGGTGAAAGTGATCAAATTCTATATGTACCTGTTTTTCACAGACTAGGGGAGTGTATAAGTTTCTTCTGATCTAGGAAACCTACTAAAAGTAATTCATGCTTGCTACAGAGAACAGTTATTCTAGCTATGATTTTTTTTTTATCTAACCCTTCATTAGTGCTACCCTAGAATTTAGTTCTCTTTTGTGAGGTGTCCTTGCTTATTATCTTCAATGTGTTTCTTAAAAAAGAGTAATTTGTCAAACTACTCACCCCAGGTCTCTATCTAGATTTTCAAACACTTCACCTCCGACAGTTTCATTATCCGGATTCAAACAGATTTCTATCATATTATAAAGGGCATTTTGGCCCCATTCACTATCTTTCCGAGCTTTATTAAAATGTCGAAGGGCATCATTTGGTTCTCCAGTATACCTGGTTAAATGTAAAAAAAAAAAAAAATGACTTATTTCAATCACTGACTATAAACTTTAAGTCAGTTATAGTTTGTTTGGTAAATAAACATATTCTAAAATGTAGATATTTTTCAAAACAAAGAAATGCATATTCTACTTTATTCACAATGAGGAAAAAAAATTATTACGTAGGATTTATTTGCCAATAGATTTACCAAAGATACAGTCCTTTACAGTACTGATATCCTGGCTCCAATTTTGCTCTGGAGTTACGTTTCTCAGCCATTAAGAAAAATCTTGGAACATCCTCAAGTTTTCCACATCTTCTTAGGAAATCAATTAAGCGAGATAATGTCATATAATTATCTACAAACAAAGAATATTTCAGATATAGACACATTTTATATCTTTTGTTTTAATGGTTATAATCCTACTTTATTAAAGTATAGTTTACTAAAGGAAAGCCTCTGGGGTTATAATCCCTAAAGAGACTGTGTGGACAACTGGATGATCAATCAAATGATAAAGGGTGGGTTGGTCTGATCCTAGTGAGACAGGGCCCACAGGCAAATAGACAAAAATGCACATTCCTAGGACCAAAATATTCTAGAAACAGTCTCTGTATAGATAACCTAAACTCCAACTATAAAATTCAGGAGGATTGATGTGATTGTGCAGGGCAGGTCTGTGAGACAACCTTTTCCGTTCACTACAGCACGCAAGGGGGTAAGAACAGGACATCCTGATGACAATGTGTGGGGTGGCTGTTGGTTGTTAGAATTAATTTAGCAGTCCTATCATGAGACAGAGCTGCAAGAACCTAGAGGCTGGAAGATCAGTAGGGAAATTGCACTAATCTGGGTGAGACGTGACACAGGCCTTAATTAGAGCCGAGGGCTAGGAGAAGAGAGACTGGATGTGACACTTAGCTATCAAACAGACAGGACTGATGGGACTTGTTAATCAATTGCTGTGAGGACAGGGGAGAACTCAGGAGGATTTGGAGATTTTGTGAGTGAAAAAGTGTAATCTGTCAAGAGAGCAGTAATTAGATCTATAAGGAGAATTTTTAACCAGCAAGGTTAAGTCAAATTGGACAGTACATTTCTCAAGTAAGCTAAAACACAGCCTTACTTTAAAGTATTAAATGTGCTACTGAGGGTAAGGAATAATGCACATGTAAAGTAAGTAGATCATAGGTTTTAGAATTAATTCTGACAAAGCAGATCAGTGGATGAGTTTGTAAAGTCTTATTAGAAATCAAATAGAACACAAGATTCAAAACATAAAATATCACATAGGCCAGTGGTTCTCAACCTTCTGGCCCTTTAAATACAGTTCCTCATGTTGTGACCCAACCATAAAATTATTTTGTTGCTACTTCATAACTGTAATGTTGCTACTGTTATGAATCATAATGTAAATATCTGATATGCTGGATGGTCTTAGGCAACCCCTGTGAAAGAATCGTTCAACTGCCAAAGGGGTCGCGACCCACAGGTTGAGAACCGCTGACAAAGGCAGTAAAAACTTACTTATTTTGCGTTTTTTTTTTTGTTTTTTTTTTAAATATATTTATTTATTTTTTTACAGAGAGGAAGGGAGCGGGATAGAGAGTTAGAAACATCAATGAGAGAGAAACATCGATCAGCTGCCTCTTGCACACCCCCTCCTGGGGATGTGCCCGCAACCAAGGTACATGCCCTTGACCGGAATCGAACCCGGGACCCTTGAGTCCGCAGGCCGACGCTCTATCCACTGAGCCAAACCGGTCAGGGCTATTTTGCGTTTTTAAATGACTTAGTATTGCACAGCCATTCACCAATCCATTCAACCAATGAACGTTTACTTTGTACCATCTGGGTGCTTTACACCACAACGTGTTTGATGGTGGGGATATCAGATGGATGTGAGGTGATCCCTGCAAACTTGGAGTTTGCAGTTTAATGGAGATGACAAATATATGCATAAATACTTTTAGCAAAATAATAGAATTATGTGATAAAGAGGCATGAGTGAAGTGATTCATTATTAGTGTGACCAACTTATCCTGATTTTCTGAGACTTTTTTAGTTTTAGCATTGAAAGCCCTGTCTTCCCAGAGACCCTTCAGTTTTAGGCAAATCAAGGTAGGTGGTCACCCTACTCAGCATTACATGAGATATTTTATAATGTTGGTGGTGGCAGTAGGTTGGGATTTTTATTTGGTGAAGGGTGTATATTTTGGATTATGTGTAGGGAGAGACATAGCGGAAGAATGAGGTTGGAAAAATTCATTATGGGCCCTAACTGGTTTGGCTCAGTGGATAGAGCATTGGCCTGCAGACTGAAAGGTCCCAGGTTTGATTCCGGTCAGGGTATGTACCTTGGTTGCGGGCACACCCCCAGTAGGGGATGTTCTGGAGGCACCTGGTTGATGTTTCTCTCTCATCAATGTTTCTAACTCTCTATCCTTCTCCCTTCCTCTCTGTAAAAAATCAATAAAATAAAATTAAAAAAAATTCATTATGGGCAAAAGGAAAACCCTGTATAGGCTTGGAGGTGTGGTTGTGTGTCACTTGGTACTTTTGCAGTACAAGGTTGTTATACTGAATTTATAAATAATTCATTTTATATGTGCTTATGAACAGTCCAAGGTAGCCAGTCTACTAAGCTAATTATGTTATTGCCATTTTGGAGAGATGCTGGGTGAGACAAAATTTATCTTCTAGATGAGTGCTTCTTCAAATCTTTCATGTGAGGGTAATGTTGTCATCAATGGCTTAAAAATATTAACAAGGCGCCAAGCCAGGTGGATCGGTTGGTTGGAGTGTCATCTCATACACTGAAAATGTTGTGGGTTCAATCCCCAGTCAGCACGTACAGAAGGCAACTGATCGATTTTTTTCACATTGATGTTTCTCTCTTTAAGATAAATAAAAACATATCACACACATCCACATGAAGGGAGAGGTCTGTTTTTTACACACACATGTACACATAAGGGGACAGGTCTGTTTTTTAAAAGACATCAGGTTGGATTATTGGCTCAAAGGGAAATATTGCAATAGTAGAGGCCCGGTGCATGAAATTCATGCACAGGGGGAGGGGGGCGTGTCCCTCAGCCCAGCCTGCACCCTCTCCAATCTGGGACATCCCTCTCACCATCCAGGCCTGCTGGCTCCCAACCACTCGCCTGCCTACCTGCCTGACTGCCCCTAACCGCTTCTGTCTGCCAGCCTGATCACCCCCTAACCATACCCCAGCCAGCCTGATTGATGCCTAACTGCCCTCCCCTGCTGGCCCAATTGCTCCTAACTGCCCTCCCCTGCAGGCCTGGGTCCCCCCAACTGCCCTCCCCTGCAGGCTTGGTACCCCAACTGCCCTCCCCTGCAGGCCTGGTCCCCCGCCCCCCCAATTGCCCTCCCCTGCAGG